CAGCTGCAGCATTAAAGTGATGTGCACATTAATGCATCATCATCTGAAATAATGAGTAGCACAATTACTACTTTCACTTCGCATACTGGCAATATTTTGGTGCTTTGTAGGCTACTTTTACTTGACCACTCTCCATATTTGAAAGCAGGATTTTAACTTGTGACAGATTACTTATACTAATGTTGCCTGAGTTAGTTAAACACTGGTTCTTCCACCGCTGTATGAAGAGGAAACGCTTCATAGAGCATTGGCTGTCCGCAGTGCTACAAACAGTTAGCTTTACGCCAGAGGGGCGGAGGCACACGGAGGGTCGTGCTGCAGCTGACCTGCGTTACAGAGAGGTCGGAACTCCTTCTTCGCTGACTCCCCGCGGATCATTCCGTCCAACTGCCGTTAAAACAACACCGACAAATATAACGTTAATGCAGTGTAGTTAGCAATGCTAACCGAGCTAGCGCTTCGCTTCAACCGCACGCAAGTTATGTGTTGCTCTAACCGTTACCATGGCAACAGACGCTTAAAAACCACGGAGCGACGAGTTTCTTTCTTTCTTTCCTTTTATTAAGCAAAAAAAAAGCAACTTACAGAAAAGGAAAGTGGACAACAATAAGAATAACAACAGGCCTACATAAATCAACAAGATATGCCTCTTGTATAAAGAAAATAAAGAAAGGGAACAGGAACTTTAATAAATATCACTATATTTTAGAGACAAATGTATAGAACAGTCTTCTGTTTTCTTCTTTTTTTCTATCTTCTGCTTCCTTCTTTTACAGCCAACATATACAATAGCAAAAGTGTGTGGATGTTGGGAATTAAAAACAAATGTTGGCCTATAAGTTTATGTAGCCTATTATATAGGTTGATAATAATAACACTAACCTAACCTATATCATAATAATAATAATAATAATAATAATAATGATAATAATAATAATTATTATTATTATTATAATGATAATAACAATAATAATAATAATAATAATAATAATAATAATAATAATAAATCACATTATGTTTCCTGGACTCAACATTTCTCCACTGTCCCCATTTCACCCACACACACACACACCACACCACACACCACAGATAGATAGGATAGATAGATAGATAGATAGAGTAGATAGATAGATAGATAGATAGATAGATAATAGATAAGATAGGATAGATAGATAGAATAAACGAGCCATTATTTATATTTCAAAAATTTTTATTTTGGAAAACATAATCTCAAGTCTATTATTCAACGATAATACATTTAATTTTACATAAATATCAGTGCTTTCATTCGTTGTTTTATTCGCTTCCGAGTAACACTTCTCTACATTTCTCTGTTTGTCTCTCCCACTGATCTGACATTTTTTCCAGCGGCTTTGCGGGCTTTCTTCCCGGGTATTTGGCCCGATTAACTTGTCGGAGATCCGTGCTAAAAACTCGGCCGACGAGCCAGTGGAATGCAGGGCGGGCCGCAGGCGTTTCATCCGCGCCCCGGCGGGTCTGGCCCCCTCCCCCCGCCACACGGGCCAGTCCGGGCATTGGCCTGGTAGGAACGGAGGGAGACCTTTGCGATGCTGAGGACGGGCCAGTTTCCGTTCGGAAGCCCGCTCCGGCTTTGCAAAGTCTCGAAGACTTTTCCAGATTTGTGTGTTCCGTTTGCAGACGTTTCAAAAATAAAGGGCACAGTCATCAACCGAGGAATCAGGAGTACCTCCGTCCTGGGATATTCCTCTCTCAGACTGCAGGAGATCACTTGGGTTGGAGCAGACCCACCAAGGGGAAATCTGCAGCTGTGGCGCACTTGCCCTCTGGCACAGGGGTTTTGAATTAGCTTGGATTTAGGCGGGCCAGGGTCTCCGTTCGCCAAGGGACGCCAAAAACCTTCTTCGGAAAGAGCCCCGGCATCTAGGACTGGGAAATACCAGAAGAAAAAGGTGTCTTCCTGTGCAAAATATTCAAATAGGAAAAATAAATCATTATTCCCTCTAATGGTTGATTTAAGCATACACATGCAACCTTTCAAGAGGAGATGAATATATGCATTTACGCGCATGCACCATAAACCTGCCCTTCTGGTCTTTATTCGTGTCTGTTTATGACAAATAAAAAAACTGACACGTTTTTGCAGGACAAGATTTATGGACTTGAGCCCAATTACGCCCCACAGTGGAGGATAGACAAGCCCGGCCGCTTGGCTGAGGAAATCCCCTTTCCCTTGGGACGCCTCCAGGATGTTCAATTTGGTAGGGTCTCTCCGCGGATACGAAACAGCTTTCGAGGAAAATCCTCGAGGGTGGGATTTGTACTTCCCTCCACAAAAGCCCGTCCCTTAAAGGTTATCTTCTTAGGGATGGGGTCTTGCCGACTCGTGGCGCACCAATAACCCAACAATGCGCTTTACAGTGTTCTGCGGCTTGGTAGAAGTAAGAAGGGTGCTCTTGGCCCACCTTGGCGCTGCCTCGTTTGGCCGTGGAGGACCAGAGTTTGCCAGCTGATCCAAGTGGGTCCTCTTGCAGGGATATTTGGTGGTGTTTGCAGTGACAGCTTGCTTACGGTTGCCCGTTGAGCGCGTCTTCTTCCTTCCTGTTTCCACTTGAGGACGTCGCCACTTTAATTGAAGCCCAAGCCCGCCCTTTAATCCCGACGGAACTCAGGTGCTGCGGACGCGGGTTTTTGTTAACCAGTTAAGGACTTTTGGAGGATCCGGCGCACTGGCCCGTCCATATTACCATGAACTGGGCCATCCCATGGTGGAGCAGCTGAGCTGGGCGGGAACCAGGGATGGAGGGGTTTGTGCGCCGTGGAGGATTGCTTGCCCATTTCCATCGGATGTAGGTAGATTTTTTGGCCCTTTGGTTCCGAGCAAACAACAAAAGTGGGCACCAATCCTGTGATCTGACGGTTTTTTATAGGCCTCCTTGCTGGAGCTGGTCTTTGGCTGATGTCCAGCCTTTTTCTTATATAGTTTTCTCTTTCCCTCAAACCCCTGGTTTTCATTCCGCGTCCAATTGCTGATTTGACCAGAAGGAGTATTGGTTCTTCAGGAGAACACCATTGTTTCAG